CCCCCCCCCCCCCGGAAAGTTAATCGATTTTTTTTGCCCCCTCCCCTAGAAAATTTTCTGCGGGCGCCCATGGAAGCAGGTATACTTTTTAAGGGTCTTCGCAACTCTCACATGAAAATTTCGTTTTACACAAGAACATTGATCTAAAACAAAACTAGTCAATTACCACAGTTAAGGATAACAAATATTTTAACATTTTAAAAAAAAATATATCTATTTTATTTATTTTAAATCATTTGAACAATAGAATTATCAAATCACAAATACTATTCTCTGGGTATGTATGGCTGTAACTATAACCCTGTGTTCAATAGGCACGCAAAATAAAATTCCCAGGAAAACCCCCACAAATTTGGGATTCTTATAAAGTTTGTTACTTTAATGGTGTTTTGTCAAGTAACTTTAGCAGATGGAAAGTTCAAGCATTGCTGCTGCCATTGTTTGGTTGGTTTTTTTCTAGTAATGATAGAAAATTGACAAACGATTGGTGCGCAGCTAAATGTAAGCTGAATGATACTGCAAAGCTCTGAACATAAGTACTTCTTGCAAATTTCGTGTAATTATTTGTCTAAGCAAGATGCATGTCTTTGGTTATGACCATAGCCCTTTTCTATTTAAACTGATATTTCATTTCATAAAGTTGGCTGGTTGATGATACTGGGTAGCAAAAGATGTTTAACATTTTATTTCGAAGTTTTGTCACATAATTCAATAACGCTAACGTTATTTAATGCGTTTTTAATAAATGAAGCTACCGAAGGACAGCAAAGATGATATCACCATGGTGATAACAGACACCCTGAGTGGAGGAACACGATGTTGTTTGTCATAGGTGGTGAGATGTCGGTAATTATGAAGAAAGTTGTCAAATGTTTTCGATGTGTTCCTGAGATTGTTTGATGTGGAAGAAACGCTATTTGGTCTATGGGAAATGCCTGGATCCGGAGATCCGAGTGGTTCAAGTTCAAGGAAAGTGTTCGGGATGTGAAAAGGTTTAATGAGATGACGCGTGTTGCTTGTGGTCGCCACGAATTCACTGAGAGTTGTTAGTGGTCACCACGAATTCACTGAGCGTTGTTTGTGGTCGCCACGAATTTAATCGTGTGAACTGAGCATTACACATCATTAGTCAAAAGATTTACACACTCCGGTGCACCCTGCACGCACGGCGCTGCTACTGAACGCCCATTCAGACATGTGTCTGCTCTTACAACAGCGTACAACAGGGATATAACCCTGCAACTCGAGTTCCCCAGACTGCTATCAAAAGTTTTAATGTTGCAAATATTTATTAAAATAAAATGCACACGCTTGTATCAGAAAAATGACAACTTGAGGCCAGTAACACTAACGCATTTATCGTAGCTCCGCTCCATGAATGTTTGATCTTTGTTATGTTTATGGGCTAGGTCAGTGGCTCTCAACTTGTGGGTCAGGAAGGAATCGGTGGACGCCTTGTCACAATGCCAGGGGTCGCTTGAGAATTTTAAAAGAAATGTGAGGTGGGGGCTTGGTGTAAAATGTGCTGTATTAATTATTTTAAATTTTCTTTTGTTTAGTTTTTGTGTGCATCTAAACTTAAATGTTTATCAAACATTTTCTTGGGATGAGCTTAGAAAGCCCCTTCTAAAAAGCCTTCCACATTTCGGTGCTATTATTTCTGCCCCCCCCCCCCCCCCCCCCCCTAATTACAGTACCGGTACCGACACAATTTTATCTTTTAAAAAAGCCCTGCCTCCTCTGCGTTCTAGAATTTTGATAGGTAGAATTTTGGCAATGGGTCGCGGCACTATAAATGTTAAGAACCGCTGGGATATGATTATATTTGTATGCTATTAGTGATAAGAAGCCTTAATTTAACTTTGATTCATTCGTGATTGCTACTGGTTTTATACATGCATTTTTTCTCTTTTCCCCATTGGGTGGAAGACCTCTGTCATATTCTGTAGATAATCCCTGCGTTGTAATACACGAATCCGGTCCGACATTGTCTGTAATTACCCGAACCCCAAGTAGATAACTGCACCCGACTCAGCCATAGCTTTTATGTAATTATTGTACCAAAAAAATTATTAAAAAAACGTTTTCCATTAAGTTTGACAATCTTGAATTTCTTGATGTGTGACATGCGATAAAAGAATTACTGTTCACTTGCATTTGATTATTTTTTATTTATGCTTTTTTAGTTCCGTCCATGTTTGAAATAATCTCGGATGATTTTGTCAGGGCGTATCAACTGATTGGCATAATATATCATGTTATTTAGAATTAGGACAACTTGGTCATATTTAGGCCACCGCATTGCATGTAGACTGTATTTTGGTGAGGTATTTTCATCACACTAGAATGGCATTCGATCCAGCGTGAAATAGGTATTTCCTTGTTCGCTAATGTTTTAATTTCAGGCATCTTTTTAATATCTTAGTCAATTTTTTGTTGTTGTCAAGTGGAAACATTACATTTTTGCTGACTGGCAAAACAGTTTCTAATAAGGCGTCTATGGTAAGAATGGTATTCCCATGTCTAGCCTCGAGGTTTAACATGACTTCAGCGGTTTCAAAGTCTGGATATAAATGTGTGGTTCAGCGAATAAAACTGACACAAGTTCAAATCAGCGGGCATGTTTAAATTTTAAATACTTTGAAGTTTGAAGCTGCTTAAATAATCAGTTAAATCAATTATGGATCATGTGGAGGTAACTAGTGAGCTGTTAAAGAATAGCTCATTTAAATGTCTATAGTACAAAAAAGAAAAGCATTTTTATTATGGTTGTCTATAGAATCAACTCTGTGGTGGTAACACTATACGTATTACGAATCTAGGAAAACATATTTTGCTCTATATCTTATTTTGTTAGTTACTCATACACTTTAAAGAAATAAACATTTTGTTCAAAAATTTAACAATTGTTGACTGTTCAATTTAGAGGACACATGGGGAGAGAATGAGTTATACCATAAATATAATACAAATGTTAAGCCTTAACATAGCCACAAATGAAGTGGGAAAATTGTAGCCAGGACTAGTTTTTAAATTACTTATTAGGCAAGCATCGGTTTTCATGTCTGCTAGTTTTGTTGGTGGCAACAATTTTGACAAATATTAGGGTGGTCTAAAACAATTCAGTACCCTGTAAAAAAGACATTTAAAATTGGTGTGTGCTACCATTCATTGATGTCCCCAACATGTGATGTGTTACGATTTAGCCACTTCAAACAACCAAGAGTGATGTTTATGCATTCCACCAATTGTAGTGCTCTACTTCAGCAAAGGTTGCTCAGTTTTCCAAATACTAGAATTGCATTACACAATTTTTTAAACAAGTGTTTAAGGCAGTGGTTCTCAACCTTCCTAAAGCCGCGAGCCTTTAATAGAGTTCATGTTGTGGCGCACCCCAACCAAACAATTTTTCTTGTTGCTACTTTATACAAGGTTGAGACCCACAGGTTGGGAGCTGCTGGTTTAGGGGGTAAAATAGTCTAAGATCCCCATGTGAACCTGGTAGCACATCAGAGTCCAGACAAACCAGGTTGTGTAAAGCTGTTCTGAATGAATGGCTATCAAATTTAATCCATATAGCCATACTGTTCCTTAACTTAATAATACTAATACTACATAGAAATAAGAACTAGACCAATAGATTTTAAATTTGTCTTTATTTTTCTTTCTCAAACATACTCAAGAATACAGACATGACCAAATTTCAAGTCCAGGATGATTAATAATTTTTTTAAAACTATCTGATCCATCTTTCTGGAAGGAATAAATATCTCCAGAGAGGAATCACATCAATACAAAAACAAGCTAAATAAAAGGCTAAGATTCAGATGCAACCTTTGTCCAGCTCAAAAAAAACCAATCAATCAAAATGTCTTCCCATTCAATCTGCAACTTTTTAAACATCCTTTTCTATTCAGACATTTTATTTTTTAATTGCTTCTATATAGACCTTTTATTTGTAGCTATAGATTAATAATCACAAAGTATGAATCCCCTTTAAAGACGTGAACAAGGCCAGTTATAAAAATATACATTTGATTAAACATGCTGATCCTTCTGAAATCTGGGTCATTGTGTCTGGTTCTGTCACTGTCCAATGGATAAGCATTAGGTCCCTTCTTTTTCTGTTGTTTTTTTTAACTTAGGATAGCAGTTGTGTCAATAAAACTCCATGAGTTCAGTAGGCTCAGCGGGGTAATCATTGTAAGCAAGGTTAAATAAACAACTAGGCTAACTTGGAATTTGTAAGTTTTTACCATATCTAGTGAATAAACACAATGTTACATTTTCAGAATAAAAAGAAATTAAATGGGAAAACGGTGTCAGCTCAGCTGGAAGAAGATTTATTTTTACACCACTAATGTAGTCCTCTAGTAATCCACCTGTTAATAGGGCAAATGTAAGCAGAGAACATTCTAGCCAGCCAGTTTCACAGTCTCCCAAACACCACTATTTTCTTGTACTACTTCATATTTAAGCTTCAAACTCCAAGCCAAGGCCAACCTGAAAAATTTTGTTTTTATAATACTTAACTGTGCTTCTACTATAATGGAATAACACTACAAAATAAGTTCTAAATAAATGAAAAACTCATCTGCAGTATTAATGGCAACCACTCAAATTGTATTTTTAAAAAAAACAGATATATAGAAAATGTACCTTATGACCTCCTTGGTTGATGTTTTTGCCATCTATCAAGGCAGACAGAGTCAGCTTCACTCCTACAAAATAAATATTGAAAAGATTAAGAAATAACTAAATACAAGGCAGCATCACAATAGAGAAAGGTATGTTTTGAGAAAGTGGAATAAATTAGGAATGTATCCAAGGTATAAATTATATGTACCACTAAAAAGAAAATGTTAAAGAGTAATATTTAGGATCTCACAAAACCATTAGCCATCCCCTAAAATATTGTGGGAAAAAACTAACATGATTTGGTCATCTGGGGAATATAAGATTCAATAAAAAAAAAATTTGCAAGGTTTCAATATCTCAAAGATTTCTAAATTAGACTAATAAAATTCAATTAAAATAAAATCAGTAAAAAAAATTGTAGCGAAAATTCAATCCAAAAAAAAAAAAACAACAACAAAATCAGCAGACTATGACATACTTATGCCTCCATTGGCTAGTTCTGAAAATGTATCGAGAAGAAGAGAAAAGTAAATTTGAAACCATTAAAGGTTCAGTAGCCCAGATACAAATAGTTTTCACTTATTTGTATTGTTCATGGAAATAAATTTGAGGTTCTATTCAAAAAGCCTATTCTTCTGTCCAGCCACTTGTATAGTAGATTTGATTTAAACAAAATAATACATTTTTGTAGTGGATTATTTTTTTCTTTTCTTTATTACTTTTATTGCACATATTGTTACAAGGCATTTTAAGACCTTTTTGCACAATAAACCAAGATGTAAAATAGATACACATTTTATGAATTGGTTGCCATGTAACCTTTCCATTGATGCCACTCACTTAAAGCTGAGAATCCTGTCCTTGAAATCTAAAACTTCATTCACACATTTTTTCAAACCCTGGAATGTAACTTAAGTGCCACACCTCACCCTTTCAATATCCAACATAGAAATACATTTTAAGGAATAAACAATGAAAAGTCCAAGGAGAATGCTCAAGTAAAATATTTTAAAAAAAAATATAATGAAACATTGAGCTTCATGAAAGGTTAAGTAACAATGCTCAAGGATCACTTAACTGAAAGGGTACCCCAAATAAATGTTAACAGACTGAAATGATTCAAGTGGCAACTCTGTGCCAATTGAAATTTTCAATTATAATATTTTCACAAAAATCAAAAGCAAGATTACGTACCATCTCTTAAAGTCTGTGTGTAGCCAATACCAACATGACTTTGGTTGTTCACTTTAGCCTGAAACAATACAATTGTAAATGTATAATTACAGTATAGTAATGGCCTTGTTGCTTAAGCAAAGTATGATCTTTCTATTAACTTTATAACTTTTAAGTAACAATTGCTAAACCACATAACAAAAATAGTGAGATTACTCGACACCATCCTTTTTAAAATTGATCTTTACAAGGTTCAAGTTATTAACAATGTAAAGAACTAAATTTGCTTAAAAACCTAAATTGTTATAAGGCACAAAACTCTGTTAAACACATGTTTTATATATGTATATTTAAAAAAGAAAATATAAAATATGGAGTCAGTTACATAAGTATTAAGTACAAACATGGATGACATTTATCACCACAAAAATTATGGTTATTTGGAGAACAATATATTTCTTCTAATATCTGAAGTTGACCAACTGTAAAAATTCATTACTTATGGTCAGTGGTGTCTGATGATTGTTGTATGATATAACCACACAAGTATCCAGAAACACTTACACTAATTGAAGCATCACCATCCAACTTGTACTTTCCACCAACAGCAAAAGATGTGTTCCCGGTTCCAGCAGCCCATGAAAGGTTTACAGCTGCTTCCAAATTGTCACTAACTTTCTGGTGAACTGAACCAACAAACTCTTGACCATCATTACTGAAAAGTAGAATTATTATTTATATACATCTGGGATGTAATAAGGATTTGTTTGGATGTCCAAACTACCAATTCCAAGCTAAGAAAAAATACCAGCTCAATAGGGAGCAGGCTTGTTTACCCTCGAACTCTTAAAATTGTACAATATCATCACAAAATCTTTCAATATATTATCTTAATAGTAAAAAATAAACATACAGTATATATAATGTATACACCTCAAAATCGTACATTGTACGCCAAAATCGTAAGAGTAAACTGGTCTGAGGAAGTATTAATCTATAATATCTATATCTATAATAATACATTTATTTTAACTGCATTAAAAAAATTGCAAGTTAAAATCCAAGAGGATTGAGTACAACAGAAACCAAAAGAGTATGGTTTCCTCCATAATACCAAACAAGTTTTCTTTCTTGTAATTGTAACATGTAAAAAAAAACCCATTTAAATGTGAAAATGCAAACAAGAAAAGTGATGAACTGTAAATTTTAAAACAAGTTAGGGTTGCTCTTACTTGCCATCCTTTGATGTATTGTTCCTGAAAAATTTATATCTACTATGACCACTTTAAAAAAGGCTAGGACATTTTTTTTTCTTCCCAAGAATGAATGTAATAAGTGAATAGATCAGTACAATAAGAGTCTTACAGAGTTTTGAAAAAGAAACAAATACTCTGTGCATGAGTTAGATTGTCTAAAACCTTAGATTTTGTACCAGGTAAGGAAGGTTTATTTCCAAATTCAGTCTATTCCAGGGAATAAAAGTTTTAGAACTGGCAACCAGGATAGACATAATATAAATGTACACAGTTAATGATCATATCATGCAAAAGAAATAATCTAATGTCACTGTGATAGCAGATGCTAATCTGGATTTTTTTTGGATACAATTTATGACAGTTGAATGAATAATTTTTCCCAATATGGGTTTTAGAAATCCGGTTATAACCAACCATTTTATTGACTTTGATAGAATATCTATATTCGGGTAGCGAGCTGTATAAATCTGAACTCTTACAAGATAATTTTTTTTAATCAGCCAGTGATTTCCGTCGGTGAAAAGCAAAGAGCTTTGGGCCATTTTTAACAATAGACTACCTATTAACTTTACTCTAATGGATAGATTTTAAGAGATTCATTCACAGGAGGTTGGCAAAAACATACTTAACCGAAGTCGGCACATCGATACTTTAAAAATAATAGCATACTAATAGCAAGAAAAATAAATATTTAAATTGATTTATCATTAATACACTTTAAATTTAAAATATAACTCTATACAGTTTTTAAAAAAAACAGCAACAATGAAACAGGATTGGTTACATAGGTATTATTAACCTATTACCTTACATTAATTAAAATGCACACAGGGTAGATAAATGGATAGTTTATAGCTACATGGTTTATTTTATAGAAATGTATGACTTGGATGATCAATACTGTGTGCCCGTAACATTTTATGATCAGCATAAATCATGAGACAAAGTTTATACTTACACAAAGGTTGTGAATGAAAAGTCACCACCAGCATAACCAAATCCAAAGTTACTACGTGTGAGTTTAGACTTTGAAGTATCAAATGACAACTGGTAACCAGCCAACCAACCTTCATATCTAAAAAAAAAATATAATACAAAAACAAATGTGTGCATGTAAGAAAAATTGAAATATACCTGCGCAACATAGCTGTTACGCTAAGTCAAAGTCATTGAAATAAATATAAAATTGAATGAAAATGTATAATCAAGATAACAATGTTATTTAGAGAATAACAATTATATCTGAAGTCGACTGCATTTTTACATAGTTTTATACTATGATGATATTTACAGATGTAACAGTATTAATATTTAACGTCTATTTCAGTTTTATCTTCAGCCATAAAGGTCATCTGATCTGTTCAATTGTTTCATCATTCTATTTTGCGGGTCTTGTAAACTTAATATGTTGCCTATGAACCTTTGAACTCTCATAACATTTTAAAACAAGAGGATAAAATATACTGATTTTTTTAATTAAAAAGTATTATTCTTGCGGAAGCCGTAGTAAATTTTTAGTAGATGAATGTATGGTAGTATAGTTGTGATGACATGCTGCCGTCAGTTGAAGTAGGCATGCAAAAATAAGAATTTGGGAGGCGACACCGGGCACTACTAATGGCAGGAGAGGATTAAAGCAATCTGAGCACCGATTGTTTTACCAGGTGACTGAGCATAATCTTTTAAAACGCTGGGATAACAATAATTCCATGAAAATATAACTTACCCTAAAACAGCTGCTCCATGAACAGTTGGTCCAGCAAAATCAAAGTCCACATCACAATTTAAATGTACATAGTCCATTTTGTATGCTGTCTTGACTTTCCCACTCTTCTTCCTGTTGGGAAAAAGTTAACGAAAATTTAAGTCAATAACTTATGACAATACACACAGACATATATACTGGTACATTTGATTTCGGGAATATGACCAAAGCTGTATTTGATGTTCAGTATGCAGGTGACTTGCTAGTCCTATTTGCGCCTAAAGCTTGCCAGCCCACATGTTTTTGGGTACAAGTGGGATTGGAAGCATTTCTGTATTTGCTTGGGTGTGAGGAGTAGTTCACTCTTTCAGTCTGCCTCATCAGCTTGTGCAATCCAAAGCAAGTGTTTCCCATGTGTTCAGGAAAGCTAATGTCTAATGGATATGAGGGACACTTTAAAACAATCGTGAAGCATTTACCACTGAAAAGATCACAATACATTAATTGTTTAGGCACTCTGGTGCCTGCCTGGCATTATCGCAACATGTCCTGGCCTATCCTTTGTGTAAGACCATGTAAATGCTGATAAAGCCAGCCTATTTTATGATATATATATAAAGCACTTCCTGCTGTCTTGACTTTCCCACTCTTGCCGAGGCTTCCATACACTGCATGTGTAGAGATGGTTTAGTTGTATAGCACATCTGCTTTGCACTGTCCATGTCGCTGGTTTATAAGAAAGTTGTTAATAAAATTGCCCTATATACCTCCAGCTTGGTAACCCGTCACTCTACAGAATACATTTGCTTTGGAAATTCTGTGGATATCAAGTATAATCTATTGTTGCTGACTGTGACGGGGGTGCTGCTTAAATATATGTATTTTCCCACTGCTTGGATTCTATACCTTCACTGAAATATTTTCTTTCTAAAATTTTCCTAGAGCTGGTGGGTGGCAAAATAATAAATTGAAAATTTTGCCTGTTCTTGGGATATTAATTATTGAAACTAGTAACACAATTTTTATAAACAATATACAGTTTAAAGCAATCACATCAAGCAAAAACAAAGAACTTGTTCTTAAAAAGTTTATCAGTTACCCTGTTGTTGGTGCAAATGAAGTATCAAAGGTTAGCTCTAATCCCTCAGCCAATTGATCCTCTATTTTAATTTCTGTATTAAGGACGTTTTCTGTATTCCACTTTTCAGTAAATGTTAAGCCTGTTCCAAACAGAAAAAGAATGGATTAAAGAAAGACAATCATTTTAAATACAGTAAAAATGTAGTGCTAAATGTCAAAAATAAATGTTGCAAAAAAAGTATTTTGTGGCATTGTAAATGAACAAACTTTCTAATTCCTCACCATATTCAGACCATTTGTATTTAGTCTCAAGGCTTCCGGCTACCTTTCCACTGTCCCTGTTAGAGCTAAGTGATGCCTTAAACTCTACATTGTTTTGGGTTTTTGTCTTGGCATCTAGCTTAAAGAAACCCCAGTCTGAAAAATATGAATTTAGAAAATAAACATTCACAACAAAAAAAAAAGGAAAATTTAGATGTCCTATTGGTACACTTACTAAAACCTGAATAAGTTAAAAGAAGCAACAACTAATGCTGATGTTAATGATTAACATTTTAGCTTTAAAAATACACTTACTAAACCCTTTGCTGAAAACATCTCTAGCAGATTTGCCCAAGTCAGAAAACGATGGGGGTGCCATGGTAAATTAATCTGAAATATCAAAGATTTATGTATCGACTACAATAGAAAAAATAAAAAAAGGAAGCAACAAAAGTTATAAATAAATTGAAGAGTCAGTAGACAAGAACCCAGGTTATAAATATAATATAATGGGGGGGGGGGGGATTTGCATAATTTGTTACATGTATACTTTTTTTAGACTGAGGCACAACTGTTTGAAAAGCTATCCCAAGCTTATCACAATGTTTTTAAAATTTAAAACACGATTACCAAATATAACAAAAATCTCATATTTCAATAAAACTAAAGATTTTGATAAACATTTGGGAACAATCTGGGATGCCAAAAGAATACTAAAATGCTACGAACTCAGACCTGCTTATCCTCAAACTCATAAAATTGTACAATATTGTCTCAAAAAACGAACAAAAGATTATCTTAAAAGTAAACAGTATGTATAATTTATACAATATCTATTTGCATGGCACGTCAAAAAAGTAGCTGACAAAAGTAGATGACTGACATTTATATTGCAATCTGTGGTCCCCTTTGTTTTGCAAGTATTTGCTAAAGATATCAAATAATATTTTGGTGAACTTGCAGATCACATTATTATACATTGACTGGTAGAAATAAAGTTACTAGTAAAATTTTATGTGCAAACTGGAAGTCAATTCAGCATAAATATTGAAATAAGACTAAAGATATGAGGACATTATCATTTAAAAAACCTATAAAGTAATTGCAGATTTATTTTCCTATTTATAAATGGTCCCCAACCAATTGTATTTCCCAAATGCAATCCCCGCGGGATGTAGTAAAGAGGACTAACTATAGAAAATTAAATTTGAAAAACTATTGGAATGTATTTATCTTAAAATCTTATTTTGCACACCAAATCGTAAGGTTTAACAGGTCTGCGAAATTTATATTACTGTCCTAATTTTTTGTCAAAAAGGAGGACATAAAATTATCTGGTCTGTTCCAGCGGATTCCAGCCAAGAAACTAGTAACCAGAATAAAGACAGATCATCAATGTACACAGATTAAAATGATAATATCATTAAAGCACACAATGAGCTAAATTGAAGCAGGTATTGTGAGAGCTTGAATAATTCTATTGAAATCCATACTTTTTAATTTAAATTGAACAAGTTTGGCTGGTGAGAAGAAAACTTATTTCATATTATAACATAGCATCTTTTATAAGGCTATTAAAAAAAACCAACTAACAGCAGAAAAATAACACAAGCTCCACTACTAAATAAAATTTAAAAAAAAAAAAAAACAAACAAAAAACATCAATCTTACTATGGACATATAATCTTCAGAGAAGGGATCAAACTCTCCAAAGGACACTGAAGTGAACCTTATACACCAGCACTATTTAAAATACACCTGTTCAGTAAGGGATGTTATAATACTGTATGTCGTCTTTTCAAAAGGATATCAAGAATAAAACTAGAAACCAGGATAGAGACAGAACTGAAACGTTCTCTTAAAACCCATGGTTAACAATTTGCAAACCCTAAAAAGCTTAACAAAAGCTCAACAAAAAAATAAAAGAATCTTACAATGAAACCAAAACAAACACCTCCCCCCAATAACTTCATACATGGAATTAAATTATAAATGACCTTTGAGAGCAGTGAAACTTTAAATGCGGGTACAATTTGTAGGAAATTTTACAGTTTAGAAGACATAAAAAATAAATACCTTCAGACTTGGAATTAAACACTACAAAGACTTTGCAGTGAACTTGATACAACAGTACTATTTAAAATTCACCTGATCAGTAACAGGGATCATAATACTGTATCTTGTCTTTTCCGGGGGGTACCAGAAATAAGACTAGTAACCAGGATAGAGACAGAACTTCAATGTACACAGTTTAGAACGATCATATCAAGCTAACATATAGCATGAATGAAGCTGGTACTGTGAGGGCAGGAATAATTCTCTTAAAATCCATAGAAACAAAATTTCAAACCTCAATCAGATTATTGCAAACGCTCAATTTAAAGTGATACAAATCATAGTCTTACATTGAAACCAAAACAAGAAGAAAAAAAAAGATCTTTAGACATGGAATTAAACTACAAACACCTTGAAGAGAACCCTATCCAAAAGTACTATTTAAAATACAGCTGATCAGTAATAGAGATCATAATACTGTATCATGTCTTTTCCAGGGGGTACCAGAAATAAAACTAGTAACCAGGATAGAGACAGAACTTCAATGTACACAGTTTAGAACGATCATATCAAGCTAACATATAGCATAAATGAAGCTGGAACTGTGAGGGCAGAAATAATTCTCTTAAAATTCATAGAAACAAAATTTCAAACCTCAATCAGATTATTGCAAACGCTCAATTTAAAGTGATAAAAATCACAGTCTTACATTGAAACCAAAACAAGAAGAAAAAAAAAGATCTTTAGACATGGAATTAAACTACAAACACCTTGAAGAGAACCCTATCCAACAGTACTATTTAAAATACACCTGATCAGTAATAGAGATCATAATACTGTATCATGTCTTTTCCAGGGGGTACCAGAAATAAAACTAGTAACCAGGATAGAGACAGAACTTCAATGTACACAGTTTAGAACGATCATATCAAGCTAACATATAGCATGAATGAAGCTGGTACTGTGAGGGCAGGAATAATTCTCTTAAAATCCATAGAAACAAAATTTCAAACCTCAACCATAGTATTGCAAAAGCTCAATTTAAAATGATAAAAATCACAAACACCTTGAAGTGAACTTTATACAACAGTAATATTTAAAATATACCTGATCAGTAATAAGAGATCATAATACTGTATAATGTCTTTTCCAGGGGGTACCAGAAATAAAACTAGTAACCAGGATAGAGACAGAACTTCAATGTACACAGTTTAGAACGATCATATCAAGCTAACATATAGCATAAATGAAGCTGGAACTGTGAGGGCAGAAATAATTCTCTTAAAATTCATAGAAACAAAATTTCAAACCTCAATCAGATTATTGCAAACGCTCAATTTAAAGTGATAAAAATCACAGTCTTACATTGAAACCAAAACAAGAAGAAAAAAAAAGATCTTTAGACATGGAATTAAACTACAAACACCTTGAAGAGAACCCTATCCAACAGTACTATTTAAAATACACCTGATCAGTAATAGAGATCATAATACTGTATCATGTCTTTTCCAGGGGGTACCAGAAATAAAACTAGTAACCAGGATAGAGACAGAACTTCAATGTACACAGTTTAGAACGATCATATCAAGCTAACATATAGCATGAATGAAGCTGGTACTGTGAGGGCAGGAACAATTCTCTTAAAATCCATAGAAACAAAACTTCAAACCTCAACCAGTGTATTGCAAAAGCTCAATTTTAAATGATAAAAATCACAAACACCTTGAAGTGAACTTTATACAACAGTAATATTTAAAATATACCTGATCAGTAATAAGAGATCATAATACTGTATCATGTCTTTTCCAGGGGGTACCAGAAATAAAACTAGTAACCAGGATAGAGACAGAACTTCAATGTACACAGTTTAGAACGATCATATCAAGCTAACATATAGCATAAATGAAGCTGGAACTGTGAGGGCAGAAATAATTCTCTTAAAATTCATAGAAACAAAATTTCAAACCTCAATCAGATTATTGCAAACGCTCAATTTAAAGTGATAAAAATCACAGTCTTACATTGAAACCAAAACAAGAAGAAAAAAAAAGATCTTTAGACATGGAATTAAACTACAAACACCTTGAAGAGAACCCTATCCAACAGTACTATTTAAAATACACCTGATCAGTAATAGAGATCATAATACTGTATCATGTCTTTTCCAGGGGGTACCAGAAATAAAACTAGTAACCAGGATAGAGACAGAACTTCAATGTACACAGTTTAGAACGATCATATCAAGCTAACATAGCATGAATGAAGCTGGTACTGTGAGGGCAGGAACAATTCTCTTAAAATCCATAGAAACAAAACTTCAAACCTCAACCAGTGTATTGCAAAAGCTCAATTTTAAATGATAAAAATCACCAACACCTTGAAGTGAACTTTATACAACAGTAATATTTAAAATATAGCTGATCAGTAATAAGAGATCATAATACTGTATCATGTCTTTTCCAGGGGGTACCAGAAATAAAACTAGTAACCAGGATAGAGACAGAACTTCAATGTACACAGTTTAGAACGATCATATCAAGCTAACACATAGCATGAATGAAGCTGGTACTGTGAGGGCAGGAATAATTCTCTTAAAATCCATAGAAACAAAATTTCAAACCTCAACCAGCGTATTGCAAAAGCTCAATTTTAAATGATAAAAACCACAAACACCTTAGAGTGAACTTTATACAACAGTAATATTTAAAATATACCTGATCAGTAATAAGAGATCATAATACTGTATAATGTCTTTTCCAGGGGGTACCAGAAATAAAACTAGTAACCAGGATAGAGACAGAACTTCAATGTACACAGTTTAGAACGATCATATCAAGCTAACATAGCATGAATGAAGCTGGTACTGTGAGGGCAGGAACAATTCTCTTAAAATCCATAGAAACAAAACTTCAAACCTCAACCAGTGTATTGCAAAAGCTCAATTTTAAATGATAAAAATCACAAACACCTTGAAGTGAACTTTATACAACAGTAATATTTAAAATATAGCTGATCAGTAATAGAGATCATAATACTGTATCATGTCTTTTCCAGGGGGTACCAGAAATAAAACTAGTAACCAGGATAGAGACAGAACTTCAATGTACACAGTTTAGAACGATCATATCAAGCTAACATATAGCATGAATGAAGCTGGTACTGTGAGGGCAGGACTAATTCTCTTAAAATCCATAGAAACAAAATTTCAAACCTCAACCATCGTGTTGTAAAAGCTCAATTTAAAATGATAAAAACCACAAACACCTTAGAGTGAACTTTATACAACAGTAATATTTAAAATATACCTGATCAGTAATAAGATATCATAATACTGTATCATGTCTTTTCCAGGGGATACCAGAAATAAAACTAGTAACCAGGATAGAGACAGAACTTCAATGTACACAGTTTAGAACGATCATATCAAGCTAACATAGCATGAATGAAGCTGGTACTGTGAGGGCAGGAATAATTCTCTTAAAATCCATAGAAACAAAATTTCAAACCCAAAAAGCTTAACATAAGCTCAACTTTAAAACATAAAGCAACATCACAAACTTACAAGGAAACTAAAACAAGACTTAAAATAAAATATTCAGACATTGCATCAAACTCTCCAAATGTCCTTTGATGGCAGTGAACCTTGATACCAGAACTATGTGTAGGAAAATATGCAAATGATAAGAAATGGAAATCATAATACTCAATATCGTCTTTTCCAGGCCGCAGGCGGGATGCCAGAAAGAAAATTAGTAACTAAGATAGAGACAGAAAATTAATGTACACTTTTTAAAACAATCATATCAAGCCAACATAGCATAAATGAATCTGGTACTTGAGATGACACATAAGTGTAATAAAATCACACTGACTCTATGCAAAATCTTTAAGTTATAAAGTCATTATGTTTCTACATCAGGGAGGGCATAAAACCTATACCTGGGGATACAGGCTATGGAACTAATATCCAGGAGAGTTAGAACATCAAGGTACACACAGAGTGATCATATCAAGCTAACATTTAGCATAAATAAAGCTGGAAGTGTGAGAGCTTAAATTACATTTTCAAATAGCTAACAGTTTATGACAGTTTATCCCATATCTAGCATGTTTCAGTTTACTCATACATTTAAGTATGTGCTGGAGAATATTTATTTTAAAACAAACAGACTACTATTATCTATCAGCATAAAGCGGCAGTCAATTTTTTTAAAGAGTTTTTAATCAGGGGAAAACAAAATGAAAACCACCAAATAACCTGACAGTCCAGCATAGTGAATGATTTACTATGATTGGGACGTGCTTTTAACCATGTGCCTATTTACACACTGAACTGACACTTGGAATCTCGTTAGTTTTTTTAAAACCTTAGTTATTTAATGTAGGTCTGGATTAAAAAAAAAATATTGAACAATGATGAAAATAATTCGACAAATCAATAAACTGCTATTGTCTTCAAAATAATAGATATTGTGCATAAAATCTTTGTCTTACTTTGAAGTGAAATTTTTTTTCTTCGCTGTGATATTTTAAAATGTTTTTAAAAAAAATCAAAACTTAACGGTGCATCTTTTAAGACTATGAAGTATGTCAAAAAAATGACATCTCTTGAAAAGGATATGAAACTATTCCAGGAACATCACAATCAAAAAGTGAAAATAAACTAAGCCAAGCCAAAACTGGCAAAACAAAGTCATAATATTAAGCCCTACAACTACATGGTATATATCTCTTTATAATTCTTAAGGATGTGAGCCTGCCTAGCTTGTGCAATCATTATTTAGGCCTTAATAATTCTCCAATACACATAACACTTGTTAAATTGAAGAGGTCATTTATCCTACTGTTATTGTATTGTATCTAATCTGTTCCATGGGGTACCAGCTATGAAACTAGTAACCAGGATAGAGACAGAACATCAATGTACACAGTTTAGAACGATCATATCACGCAAACATAGCATGAATGAAGCTGGTACTGTGAGAGTTTAATTAGTGCCTTTTTATTATTTTTTACAGCAACAACCAATGAGTTTAAATTGAACCAATTTTTAAATTTTAATGCAATATTTTATTCTGGAACATGTCATTTTCTAGGCCTATATGAATGAAAGCTACCTAATACACTCAATAAAGTAACTATATTTCATGACAGGAAGAAAGCCATCTAGATGTCTCTACCTAGAAATTAATACATAATTAGACAAAATGAAATTTGTGAAAGCTTTAAGGAGCAAGTGAAACATCACTGCAAAGTTACATGCAGCTTGTCAACTTTTTTGCCCATGTGAAAATTGAACATAGCAAAAATGCTTTGAGAATATTATGTATGTGTCATTACATGAAAAATGATTTATTCAAATACCTTTGGTAAAGCTAAAAGTTAGGCTACATGTTTTTGCCTCCGCCCCCCCCCAAAAAAAAATAAAAATTATTCCTATTTACAATTTAATACGGCTTATAAGGAGAGTCTTCTTTCTCAAATTATTAATTCCACCCAAAACTGCAAAAGGGTGAAACAAATAAGATAAATAATTAGGGCATAGGCTACTCTTAATAACTTATAAACAATGCTTGGATTAGTTACTTGATGCAAGAGTAGTCTACTGGAGTGAGTAAGAGTCAAGAGTAGATGAGCAGGCCTCAAAATAAATAAACTGCAAAAAATATAGCAGCACACCAGCGCATACTGAAAAATGACTTAAAAAAACTGATGTGGGCATTTTACATACGCCTTGGGGACGACTTCTGTGTCTTACGCCAGTTTTCTTACAATAAATTATTTTGTTACCAGTGACATAGAGCGCATAAATTAATTATGGAGAGAAAGAGTTAAGATTAGAGGTTATTTCTGGTGCAGGGGAAATTTTCAATTTACTATTGCAGATCTCAGAATTCCTTGCCAATGAGGGATGCTTAGATGAAGATAGTGAAGACAAAGTTTATGAAGGAAAGATTCTGGGATTTTAAACAAGAAAAAGAAGTCTGTAAAGCAGTCTACCCAGAAGATGACAGACACACCCTGATTATCTATTAATCACATACTGGTCCGCCCTAGTCTATTAATATTAGTCTTATTGGGGATTTAATTATTATCATTTAAAGTTATTTCATTCATGCTTTCAATTATATTTTTAAAAAAAGATGTCTACTTACCTTTTATAAATTATATTAGCATTGATATCTAATTTAACTAAAGCTAGGTACTTTGACACACAATTTAAATATTGTCAGATTGTCATGAATGATACATCATTTTTTAAAGGGCTAGCTATAAGCTTTATAACAACACCAATTTCATCTTTCTATCTTTTATAGAAGTGGAGTTATGATTTTTTAAAACCCCCTTCTTTATCTTAGTATTTAACTGAAAAAACGTGTGACCCACTTTCCAAATTTCTGCCTTATTTTGCCCAAAACTTTTGGATTTTAAAAGATAATGCTACCAAATTTTCAGGAGACATTCTCAATGCAATATACAACCCAATGAACAACAAAACTTTTACATAACATCAAGACTTTTATTTTTTGATATATTTATTTGTGGGTATGTTCAGAAAAAAGTGAACAGAAAAATTGGGAAAATCATCATTTATGCAGGAAAAAACAAAAAAATAACATGTTTATTGAATTTTAACTAATTTTATTATCCTTGCTTTACATTTTAAATCAATTATTATATTTATAAAAAGGTAAGTAGTCTTTTTTCATATATAAATTGGAACGCATGTAATTATAAATAAAAATTACTCAAAATCATCTATGATGATGAGACTAATTTATTAAAAAATGTTATTTGATATATTAAATAATTGTCCTTGTACTGCTTTTCTATGTTCTAATAAAAATATTAGGGGTGTGCCGGATTCCGGTCCGGAATCCGGTTCCGCCGGATTTTGCACTATCCGGTGAAATCCGGTTCTGCCGGATTTACATGTATCCGGAACAACCGGATTCCGGAATTTGCCAGATTTTGTGACTCACCGGATCATAATCTGAAATAAAAGTAATTCTCTTTCCCGAATTCCACACGATCACAATACATTAATCGATTGTTTCGAGCGTTGAGCTTGTTTTATGTTTAATATTCCGTACATAACAGAGGCTAGAGTCAGCACAGCTAATAGTGGCCAATAGTGTAGGCCGATTGCGAATTCCCATACACAAAAAGTAGTAGTCCACCTTGACTTACCGCAGTATCTACCAATAGTACCAAATCCGGAATCCGGGAGAAACCGGAATCCGGATTATTCCGGAATCCGGATCCGAATCCGGAGGATTTCGCATAAGAAAATCCGGATCCGGTTGGAAAAAACGGATCCGGCACACCCCTAAAAAATATAATTACAACGATGATGTTGTTTGATTCTTGTTTATTAATTTGATGTATTTTAATAAAACTGTTATATATAGGCTTAACTAAAAAATATATTATTAGTAAGTGTGGTTGTTGATTGTCGTAGTACTAGTAATAGAATTATGAAAAATTAAGCTTAGGCCTAAATAGACTATTATAGGATTATAATAACAGTTGTTTATAATTATAACTGATATATCAGCCTAATTTTAGTAATATTCTCTGAAATAATTATTAAGAGAAAAACGATTATTATTATTGACATTACTATTGTAACACTAGTAAATTTAAATATTGATTCAATAATTATGAAGAACTATAAACTGTCTACCAGTACGGTACCCAATTTTTAATGTAATAAATAAAACTTAAAACCAACCCTTGGTTACTACATAATTAAACTTTGGTTATAATCTTTTCTTAAAATTATTCATTTTAAACGTCTTATCATTACTTAGCTGTTTAAGTATTTAACATTAACGAATCACAGTGATAAAATAAAAAAATGACAATTTTGTACCCCCACTCCTTCGTGGGATGCATAACTTTTTATAGACAAAGTCAAGATAATAACTCAAACAATGAAAAAACTCTTAAAATGAATGTAGATTGGGTATCACTAAAAATTATTTTGGTTGCTTAACTAGTAAAAAAGTGTTTATGCGATTTATATACTAACCGAGTCATTATAATAATACTGTCCGGGATACACAAAAAATCTAGTGGAATAAATCAATATATCACCGGAACACAAAAACTGATACGTCACTGATGAGGAAAGCATTATTTAATAAACAAAGGTTACGTAGTATGCAATTTTCCAAAGATACCGTGTAGCCGTACGCCATATTGTAGAACACATTTTTTCGACATTTTAGGACATGCGCAGAACGGTGCGTGAACAAGTATTGTTATCCCTACTAAAGCATACATTTTCATTGTATATTAATTAAATTTCTGTTTTTTTTCTCCTCTATAAGTATAGTGTTGGTAATAATTTTTTCAAATTTTTCTTTTCAGGATTTTTTAAAAACTACCCTCACAATTATCAAAAATAAACAGTCCTGATGTTATGAAAATGTTTTGTTGTTCATTGTGTTGTATATTGCATTGAGAATGTCTCCTGAAAATTCGGTAGCATTATCTTTAAAATAAAAAGTTGTGGGCAAAATAAGGCAGAAATTTGGATAGTCTGTCACAAGTTTTCACAGATAAATTAAAAATACAAAGATAAATAAGGGGGTATATAAAATTCACAAAAAAAAAAAACTTCCTTTCTGTAAAAGCTAGAAAGATGAAATAGGTCTTTTTTGCAAAGCTCATAGCTATCCCTTTAAAATTTATGTCAAAGTACCTACAATCATAAGTCACAAAGCCTAAAGACTCATCACACAATCTCAATAAAAAATAAATTTAATAAATTAGCTAGAAAATGACCTTGCCCCCCAAAAATATATCAGTTGAAAAAATACAAATTTACTTGCAAATTGTTGGCTGTTCAAACTGATTTTAAGGAAAATGTTTAACCAACCCCCCAGGCCAAAATACTATATCAATCTCTCCAAACACCAATGACCTTTATTTGACCATTTTTTTCCTCTGGTACAATTACAATGGTAGCAAGAAGAAATAGGCCTACCTGCTCAAAATCAAATATCTGTAAGTCTAAGCAAGCACAATTTTTCTGATACATTAAATATATCATGAAATCTGATGTATAATTAAATAGTAAAATACTTATTACTTAACTACCACACAATTGAAGACGGGGGTCATACAATATTATTATATCCATATTTAAGTGGGCCACACACCCTCAATACCTGCCTGCCTACAGTTTGAAATTGGTTAGAATCGAAGTAAGCTTTTACTTTGACTATGCCCTCGTATGGCAATAAGGCAAGTAATTGAACGAGATAAAATCAAAACTTTAACCTCTTAAGTAAGAATGGCTATGATTATTTAAGTTAAGTGAATTAATAGGCCTACTAATGAACTGAATTTTCATGTTGGAGAGCATGGCGAACACAATTTTTATCATTGATAGGCCATAGGCTGATGCCTGCTGATGTGCTAGGCTAAGTATACCGGCCGGTATAATATGCTGAAAACGAAAATTAGACAATGCTAACCAAATTGAACAAAAAATAAAAGCACTCGACATGTTTTAATTAAATATATGATGAGGTTAAAACTTTGTAGAATAACCTTTCATACGCAAAGTCAAACCTTGAATATATAACTTACATTGCGTGAGCCTAGACTTGGACTTAACAAGGTCACCGTAGTAAAATGTCGGAACGAGAGTTCGAGAAAAGTAGCGAGATTTCTGATTAGTAACAATAAGAGATAAATACATTTGTAATATTTTTATATCCATATCGAATGTTTTAAAAATAATATAAAATATAATACATCTATTAAAACCAAAAACTGTTATCACTTGGTTAATTAATTAATTTTTTTAAAGCTTTCTTGTGTAGTCTATTTTCGATTTCGGCGAAAGACGGAAGAAATTACTTGTCCATGATGGATGGTGCCAGAAAAGCAAAAAAACCAAACACAGATAAAAAATAATTTGATACAAAATCCAAACATAATTTCCAAACTGGGAGTCTTGACAAGTTAGTTGTTCAGCTACATTGCGTAGGTGTGTCGCTTGAACTTTACGGGAAACCTATTTATATATGTGAAATTGATTTAGGGCTTAGAACATAATTGTACTCATTAAAGTTACAAATCTCATCATCTTGAAAATGCATGTTTCAATACTATCTAGTTATAAAATTAAAACATAGATAAATCAAACGAAATGTTTTCATGAGAAAATGATGTGTCACAATACATTTCATTTTATACTTAATGCCTGCGTCCATATCTGTTAAAATGCGTTAATTGGTTTAAAACCTACAGTTAGCCAGTAAAACATTTTTTGGGGCTCCAAATGAAGAAAAAAAAAAAAAAGAAAGAATGTCACCAACATTTAAAATATATGCATCAAATATTAAATCACTTGTTACTTTACCTCTCATCCTGTCAAACTTTATCAAAAAGACATTGAAAAATAATTATTTTGGGTTAATAGAGTTGAAAACCAGATGATTGTATTAATCATCCATCTTTTTGGGTGATATATAGGGGGGCAATTAAAGTGTGAGCTTTGCAAATGGAAAATTAGCACATGCCCTTGCAGCATAAAGGGGGTTTGGGAGACCCTATGCAGCATGACCATAACTGACTTTAAAAAACAATAAAAACTGAATTGCAATAAAATGCAAAAAGTTAATTTGAATGGAATCAAGTAACATCATCTCATTGATTAGAATTTAATAATTTAATTCAGCGAATAATCCTTGTCTAAAAATGTCTAATATATAAATTTTGCACCCTGGCACCACACAGCGTCTCATGAATTGACCAACGGGGTGACACATATAGAGGCAACTGGATATAGGTATTCTTAGATGCACATTATTTTTTAAACCCACAGTAACACATGCAATTTTATTAATGCAGATTCTCTGCAAATTTTCGTAAAATTAAAATGAGTTTCCACACAAATAGCACCTGGCACTAAAGAAAATTCCAAAAGACGAACGCAAACAAAATAACCCCTAACTTCTACCACTAGAGGACCCTCAAAAGTAGTAATAATTGAAAGTTATCCGAATTTCACCGAAGATGAAAACAACTTTTGGACCCTGTAAAATGAAAAAGTGAATCACCTAACATTTTTTTTTGGTTGGTAAGCCAGGAAAACGACTCGTAACAGATTACCATTTTATGAATTAATGAATTTAGCCGTTTAATTTTAGGCCTACTTATATTAAACTGAATAATATTTGGCTATATTTAATTTATATTAATTATGATAAAATTTAAATGGTTAAATTAAGACACTTCTCACTTGATTATGAGAAGTATCTTAGTCTTAGTCCTTAGTTTATATTAATTATATAGTTATAGTATAGTATGTGACATCCTGATAATGGGGCCAATAAGGGTGTCTAAATTTTATGACATATTTGACTAAGTGGGAGTGGGGATTATAAAAAAATCAACCGAAATAGCGGGACATTGGTTAAGAATTGGTTAAGAATGGCCCCTATGCCGCCTATGCCCTATGACTATGTGACATGTGACATTGAAATAGCATTATTAATTATAATAATCATAGTGTTAGTGTATACCTACATGTAGACATGGTAAAATTCATATATTGGGGCAGTCAAACCAACCTGAAACCTCATTATCACCGGACATTTTTATTGAATGTTTACTAGGACTACGTAATAGCAGCAGTCAGTTGGCTGAGTAGGCTGTTCATTAGATCACCACAGCCTAAAGAATAAGAATAAGAAGTCTTACTTATAATGTCCTATATAATTTTATCATTTTTGTGACACGTTGAGGCATATATAATAGGCATATGTATGCCTAAAATAATAGATAGTATAGGTGCTATAATAATATTATTTCTAAGGCAAGGATTCAAGAATTTGAATCTTAATTGTGGGACCAAAAAATATCTATGAAATTCAGATTTAAAAAATTATTAAACCAGGGTAAAGCATTATTAATGCCAGAATAAATTACATGATGTTTGATCTCAGTGCTTTCCAAACTGTGTGTCAAGACACAGTTGTTTCTTGCCTGCAAGGTGTAGATTTTTCATGTGACAATGAGCCATGCCCAACATTCACATATTTTTAAGACTTATAACAGACCACTTTAAATGAATTAAAAACAATTATTCACAAAATGGTAAATTATATTAAAAGCAGACCTCTTCTCTCGAGATTATTTGCAAATATTTGTAAAGAAATGGGGTCAAAATTTAAAAAGCTGACATACACACAGAAGTTTGTTGGCTTTGATAAGGTCGAGTGCTTGTAGGAAATTGTGGAAAATGATGATTATATTTCTTAAGAAAAACAATCAAAATGAATTTTGGGATTTAATTCAAGGCAAGTTTTGTGCACAAAATTGCAGAAGTCAGGAACTTGTTGACTTATTTATCAAATAAAATAAACACCAACATGTTTTAAAAAAAAGGGAGAAAATAACAGCATTATATCAAATTCAGGTTATGTTATGATACAAGATATTGATTGGGAAATGGAAAGTGAAAGACAAAAAATTGGAGAAGTGTTCCACAACAGCTGAGTGCGATCTAAAATGTCATAGTGTGCTTGTTGTGGATAATTTGACATTGCTATTTACACTTTAAGTATGTGCCCCATGTCTTATAATGGATTAGTTAAACCAGCAAAACCAACTTACTGTGTCACAAAATGATGTTTGTCTAAAAAGTGTGTCCCCAACATGAAAAGCATTGAAAGTACTGTTTTATTTTAGCAGAATACTTGCTGTAGGAATCAGTTTAAAGTTTATTAAGCTTCTATCTTGTCTATACTATGAGTGTTTCTCAACATTTTATTTTGAAATATCATGGCAGATGATAAGTTGATTTTCATATGTAAAACCTCAGGTGCTATACTTATTGCTTATTTGTCAATAATAATTTCTCTATAAATACTTGAATATTTGACCTGATGTTATTAGGATACTCTTAATGGAAGGACGTATGCACTTCATTCTGCTTGCTATTGCGAAGTCTCACCGTCTAAAAATCCAATGTTTAAATATATGACAGAGTCGTGGTTTGATGTATTTTAATTTTATCCCCCCCAAATTTTAAGACAATTTTCCCAGCCCTTGAAATGTATATTTAGGAAATAGCAAATTAGACTTTCCTTATTTAGAAAGTATTATCCATGAATAGATGTTAACATTTCTATCATCATTGGGTTTAAGAAATTTGTATCTTCTATATAATATAGGCCTGCCCATAGGCAGATTGTGGGATAGCGTAGACCTGGGTGCTTTGGATGAATCTGCCCGGACTCATGGGATTTATTAACCATTCATAGGAAAGTTTTAATTGGCCCGAGTCTCTAGTATAAATCAAGGTGAAAGTATATGCTTAATAAATTCATTTTTCTTATATTAATACAAATAAAATATCTAAATATGAAAAACTGTTAGAAAATTCATTAGTGAGAGATACCGATAACAAAAATATCATGGAATTATTGATCATAGGTATTTGAAAATATTACAATATATCTTCTATATATCTTCTATGATTTGTCAGGGTATCAATTATTTGTACTTCTGACAAATTTACTGTAATGTCTGGTTCACAGTTCACAAGTATTAATGCTTCCTTTGTATGCTAGATAAAGTTGATCTCAATCGATTGTTCAAATTTCAATTTTGAGAAAATTTGTTGGTATGGAACTTGGGATATTGGAAGAGTCAGTAAAAATGTATAAGAATTACATGGTGACCGGACAACTGAACGCACGACAGGTGAACCTACGACAACTGAACCCAAGACAACCGAACCCATGACAAGTGAACCCACGGACAAGTGAACCCACGGACAAGTGAACCCACTGACAACTGAACCCATAGACAACCGAACGCACGACAGGTGACCACAAAAATAAATTAATAATAAAAGGATAATTCATGGAGGCCAAAAATTTATTGGAAAAATTCCCTGGTAATAAATAAAAAAGTCTGAAAAGACATTAATTTATATTCATTATAACTCTTCTAAGCACGTTTGTTTTAGAAAATAATTATTTCGAATAGTTGAGCAAAGCTATATTATAGGATTACGGATAGGCCTACTATTTAATATGTATCAATTCAATTATAAATTAATGAAAACTCAATAAAAATCAACAACATTCTTAAAATATCCCGAATAGTATGATATGATTCTGGAAAGTATGTCTTGAGGCAGGTAAAAAATGTAAAAATACCACTTTATTTTTTGTGTAGTAGCGGAGAACCCGAATTTCAAAATATGGAAAGGATAATTAAAATTAAGCTTAGGGTTAGGGCCTACTTGTCTACAACAATACTGTCGATAGCATTGGGCAGTACGCTCATCATATTATAGGCCTATACGTATAGGAATACATTTCATTATCAGAGTGTCCGTAAGTTGACATTTCTTGAGAAGAACAAATACCTCAATCTAATTCTAATTGCAAAATTAAAATAATTTGCCAAATATATTATTACTCGTTTTTTAATCATTTTTTTAAGCTGCAACGCTTTGCAGAGAAAAAATATTTTTTAAAGCTAATTTAACCAATGAAACTAATTATAAAAATATATATGTATTTAATCAGTTGAAAATTTTACGTGGTACGTTTTCTAAGCGTTTCGGCATTTATAAATTTAATACATATTCTATTCTATTTTATTATTTTTGTGGTCACCTGTCGTGCGTTCGGTTGTCTATGGGTTCAGTTGTCAGTGTGGTCACTTGTCTGTGGGTTTACTTGTCCATGCATTCACTTGTCAAGGGTTCGGTTGTCTTGAGTTCATTTGTCGTAGGTTCACCCGTCGTGCGTTCAGTTGTCTGGGAACTGAATTACATATATGAATCTGAAAATCCATTATGCTTCTGCATTATGATATAGCAACATAAGGCTCAATTCTTACAAGTACTAATATGTTCAATAGTCACGTTTGTTCTGATAAATTCTGAATCCATATTCCCATTATTTTCATTATTGTGCTCATTGGTTATTTATTACTTCTAGACTAATTTCAGTGTCTTCTCTTAAGGCCTTTTTTCAAATGGTTAATTTAGAAGTAAAATCTAGAATTTCTTTACGAATTCTAGTTGCCCTCGCTACGGTGTTGAATCTCAAACATATAGTTGAGAAATTGAAAAGTTTCATGCAAGACTACATCAAGTTTATTGAAATTCCTCAGATTGATGCTTGCCATATTTGCAGCTATTTTGCCATTTCCTGTAAAATCGTTTTTGAAAATTATTCAAACTATCTTAAAATCCAGATCATTTCTGTTAACATGAAGATTTTTAATTGAATTTGTTTCTTCATAAAATTTGCAAAAATTATAATTTCTATCAGATTATTAACTGTTGTTTTAGATAGAAGTGTGATTCTCAATCACAATTTACTTTTTTGATAATGTCGACATCTCTTTATTGGTCAATGTAATTTTACAATATAGTGTTGAATTCTTATCCCAAGTGGAATATTTGTAAGAAAATGCTAAAATTCAGGCTTGTTTTCAGGAATAGTTTTGCACTTTTTTCACAATAACCACAACCCTAACCACGCTTACTAATCAGTTTTGTTACTCTGTTAATACTAATTAAGATCTGGTGGTGTCTATCAACTTCTTCATAGTGCAATCGTTGGGTTCACTTTTCTGCAGCAAGCAATTATTTATTCTTAGTACAAGGCAAGCAGTGCCACATATTGTTATGAGATCAAAATATCTTTATGTTAGACTTTATGTTAGATCACCCCAAAATTCATTCTATGGAAAAAATGTGGAAAATCTCGATGTCCTTAGTTTCAAAGAAAATTGTATCCACTATTTTCCTTGGTATTCATTTTGAAGTATGGGCATGATTATGTAATTGAAAATGTGATGTTTGTCATTCGCACGTAAATATGACCAGGGCAATTTTTGACTTGAGTGTAGCCTTGACTTGAGATGTATTTTGTTTAAAGTGAGGGAGAATTGTTCAATTCATCAGCCTCACTCTTTCGTCCTTGCCAATTTGATCCAATGGCAAGATCTAGTCAAGACAACTGGAAATAGACCAGGATGCAGTAGATGACTGGCATTGAGTGTATATGTTTCACTGTGCTCTTTATGTGTTCTATGTCGCATAAGCTGTCGGAATTTTCATTGTGTCAATGTCATACCCCCAATGTCATTACTGTAAATGGAAAAATCTTGTAGACACCCTATGCCCTGGGAGTGGGTAAAAGGCATAAGTTTGTAAGTAAGTAATGTCATATTCCTAGGGGCCTCCTTCTCCGGGTTTGATTTCAGACTTTGCCTTCTCTTTAATTTTAAAACTATCAATATATAAATTTCCGGTGTGTAACATATTTAGGCATTAAGATATTGCTATAGTTTCAAAATATGCCCACCCCTGCTGTGGTGTATCTTGTGCTGCCTGGGGTAAATCCAAAATTCAAAGCCCTTCCCCCAAATACAATATTTTATTACAATTTCAATAAACATAAAGAAAAGCACCTATGGGATGCTAACCCCCAAGAGGTGCCACCACACACTTTTTGCATGAGCCTAATCTATATTAGCATTCTATTAGAGACCCCCCCCCCCTTTTTTTTTTCACCACGCAATGTACATTTGCTTTTAAAACAAATTGTCAATACACATTGCTGTATATTTAAAGAATATGGTTATTTAATTTTTAAATTAAAATCCATACCGCAGTTCAGATGTGTAACTTAATTGGGTTTGAAGATATCAATATTAAAATGCCCCTCCCCCCTTCCAATTTTCTTCGCCCTTGGAATGTATAAACAGAAAATGGTAAAATACATAGTTGTAATTTTATTTTAAATTATCTATATACCAATATCCAAGTCTGTAAAGTTTTGGGGTTTTGACATATGTTTTGATGGAAACGACGTCACCTAAAATGGAAACACATGTTATTCAAGTAAAGAACACACATTTGCATGCTGTTGAGTGACATTTTTGCAAATTTAATTCTTCGCACTATTAGCACTATTAAATAGAGCGTAACTCAATGACATGGTTTGTTCTTGTATGTTAGGAGATAGTGAATCTGTGATTGTAACTAATCACACAAATGTATGAAGAAAGGTGCAATGAATCTTACAATCCAATTTAAAGATTAAAATTTTGTTTTTTTTGACAGTTGCTTACACCATGGAAGAATCAAGGGGGCCAGTAGAAACTTGGTCTTGTGATGATGTTGGTTGTTGGTTGGAAGAAGTTGGACTGAAAAAATACTCAGAATTATTTAGAAACATACATCAGATTGATGGCCGAGTTCTTATGTGTTTGACAGAAAAAGATTTACGAGATGCTCCGCTACAGCTGACCGTTCTAGGGGATATCAAGCGATTGTCTCTCTATATCCAAGAGCTGCGCTCACAAAGTCAACAGTCTTCATCTCTTCAACTTAAGCACAACAATGCAAGTAACCGATTAGAAGGGAAAGGAAAAAATAAGCAAAAAGCTGTGCTCAGTCCGTCAAGTCCACCAAGGTACAGAGGAAGCGCTAGGGAAGAAAGTACTGAATCGGAAGATGTTGATACTTCATTCAGCAACTCTGGAAATGTTAATTTACATGAGAAATATTCAAACATTGAAACCAACAAGGAAATACCTCTGGAATTATGGAAAACTGTGCTTTCATTTGTTTATGTTTTTGCAGTATTTATGCTGACAGCATTTGTCATGGTGGTGGTTCATGATAGGGTGCCGGAAATGGATAAATATCCACCATTGCCGGATCTGTTCCTCGACAATATGCCTTATGTGCCGTGGGCATTTGATGCCTGTGAGTTGGTCGGTGTCATATTAGGATGCATGTGGTTCACTCTGCTCTTCTTTCACAAACAAAGGTATGTTTTAATTTAATGCCTCTACCTAAAGTTGTTAGTGCATGTAATCATGATATGGGATGAATTGGATGGTTTATTTTTAATTTAACAAACAATCATATGCTTTTATGTGAAAAGTGTGTTTGCCAGCATTGGTTTAGTAAGTTATCAAAATTTAAAAAAATTATTACAGATTTACATTGGTTTATTGGGTATTATTAGGAATAGGAGAAATGCTTTGTATTAATTTTTATTTTTAAGTGTATATTTTAAAGGAAAATTCTTAAGATTTCTGGTTCCAGCAGTTGTCATTGTCAGACAGTAACTTGTTAAAATGCTTAATTGGTATTTTTGTTTCAGATTTGTTTTGATGCGAAGAATGTTCTCATTGACAGGCACAATATTTCTACTTAGATGTGTGACCATGTTAATTACATCTCTCTCTGTGCCTGGCAAACATCTACAGTGTAGCGGAAAAGTTAGGAATTTATATTTTTTTATTTGATTTCTTTTTTTATAGATATCAAAATCCCTTTTTCGTTAGCATTCACGTTTTAAATTTATTTCAAAATAGATCGTATTGATTTTTTAATTTTAGGTTATTCTTCTTTAATAAACATATTATATTCACTTGTAATTGTTCTAAAAAAATAGATAGCTGAAAAGAAAAAATGACTGTCAAACTTTTTCCATGAAAAAAAAAAAAGATAAAAATGTAATGCATTATAAAAAAGAAAGAAGCTATAGACTTTTAAAGTTTGATCAAGTTCAGAGCATTCATTTTTTCTGTCATTTTTAATGTTATAATTTTGAATGTCTACTTCAGAGATATGCTGATATCTATACACGCCTTGAAAGAACTTTTGAAATTTGGAAAGGAATGGGGATGTCTCTACAGGGTGTACGTTCTTGTGGAGATTACATGTTTAGTGGACATACCTCTATAATCACACTTTTCAATTTTTTTATCACAGAATGTAAGTAATCCTTTTCTAAGTACTGTAGAAATGGAAAAAAAATTGTTTTTATTTAGAAACAAATCAGTGTTTAAAAAAAATATATTTCTTTGATTTTTATTTTCTATTTAAAAAAAATACTACAAGTTAACTCCTGCTGAAACTGTTTTAAAGTTAATTTCACACAGACTTAAAGTTCATGTAATTTATTATTATTTTCATGCACATAATGCTGCACATGAAAGTACAAAACAGTTTTACAGTTAATTGTAGAATTCACGCAAATCAGTTTATTTTTATGTTAAATGAATTAAAGAAAGCAACACCATTTACTTTTCAAGTCTATTTGTAGTACCTCTTCAGCCATATATTTGTCCTAATCTAGCCTAATAATCACAAAACATTTTTCTACTCAAATTGTTTTTTATTTGTAAAGCATGAAATTGATTTTTAAAAATTCTTTTAATTTCAGATACACCAAGGAAGTACTATTTTGTCCACATTGCATCATGGTGCCTTAATTTCTTTGGTATCTTCTTCTTATTGGCAGCGCATGAGCATTACTCTATTGATGTTTTCATGGCATTCTACTTGTCATCTCGCCTGTTCATGTATTATCACACACTGGCCAACAACCGAGCCCTGATGGCGCCAGATGCTGGTCGGACCAGGGTTTGGTTCCCGCTCTTCTCCTTTTTCGAGTCCAAGTGTGAGGGCAGGGTGTCTAACCACTTTGAGCTCCCCTTTAAATATTTCTTACCATGCTGCAAGGTCTTATACACCTGGTTGATGACCCACCTCCCTGGTAGCGAGGCTGGCAAAGTTTTTTTTGCCAATATTTCATCATCATCAGAGACAAGTTCCAGTGTGACACCAAAAAAGGAGTCATGAAAAAAAATCTATGTTTTTAGATGCAACTCAGTCTCTCTCAACCTTGTAGTCAAATAGGAACAGAAAATAAAAGAAATGGCAGCAGTGGAGAATGTTTATTGGTTAGAAAGTGAGTGTCAAATATTAGTGTAAGTATAGCTTACAAGTTAGGTGTGTCAAATGTCACCAATGTTATACACATTAGTGTGCTACAGAGTTTCCTTGAGCAAAATAAGAACTGAATTATAGTTAGTGGCTAATTGCACAATGAAGTTAAGTTTTGGGTGGATTATCTTCCTTCAAATATCTTTATTTCCAGTGTCTTTCACTTTCATCGGTACAGTAAGACTTTGAGGCGTCTGATATCATTAAGTCTAAATTGAATGTGTTAACAGAGTTATTTTATACTTGTATAGCCACTACTAAAGATCAAAATATTGTTGAATATTTGCTTGCTGTTCAACAGTACTAGAGGCATAGCATCATCCTTTGATTTATTAAAAGTCTAATAAAAATAACTTAAGTTTTAAACATAGAGCTGAATTTGCCTTACATTAGATATAGTGTGTCATTCATAAGTATTATACATATAGCTTAGAAGTACCATTCTTTAAACTATCTAAATGCTACAAATTTATCCATGTTGTTATTTAAAGATAAAAAAAATTGTGTTTTTTTAAATAGTAAATAATTAATATTTTTAATCAAGGACTTGCTACTTTAAAATATTTAATAGAAAAATTTCTTTGACATATAACTTATCTTACATTCCAACATCAGTTTTTTGAAAGTACAGGGACTAATTCTATGTAAAGAAATTTAAAAAAAAAAGATATTCAAATACATATAATTGTTTAGAGGGGTATAAGCTGACCAAAAGATGTTTTGTAATTCTAATTTATTTTAAAAAAAAAATTATTGTGACTACTAGTAGCACCATCATTTGTATTGATCAACAAAACAAAAGCTCTTGTAAAAACCAATAAGCAACAATATTTTTAAAAGTAAAATTACCCTTTTTTTTTTGCCAATGACAATTAGCTTCAATATAATAATTTACCTCAATATTTTCATTTGCGCGCAGTAAAATGACACTTATTTATGAGCATAGATTCAGCTTTTATTTTCAGCTGGTTTTTAAATGAAGTTATATTTTTTGAAGAATTAACTGTATCATCATTCTGCCAGTTGAATTTCTCATTTTCATATTGTTTCTGATGACTTTTAAAAACATTTTTCTATTCCAACTCTACACAATTTACATTGCATTCCAGGATTAACAAAGCAATATTTGTGAATATAAATGTAAAAGTACAACACTTTGTGGTAAAAGTATAAAAAAAACAACAACCTAACATAACAGTTTTTCAAACTTAAATAACATATTTATAAGTAAAACAAATTGTATTTACAAGTGTTTTTATTTTTAATGAGGAGAATTCAATATCATATCATGTATTCATCAGTAGAGAAATTCCTGTGTGAAAGTACATGTCAGTTTATACCATTAGTGTGGCTGGAGATGTAAAGTTACCTGAGTTTATTTACATGAGCAGGGAATTAGAGCTGGAAAAGAAAGTGGCTTTTACTTAAGTAACTGATTTGAAAAGGTGGTTACTTTTTAAAAAAGAAATGGCTTGTGTCGTGGGATTGGGTGAGGTGGGGGCTGATCACCTTAAAACACCATTCTGTACTAGCCAAGCTGCTTTTCCTTCCCTCTATGTATTTCTGTGCCAACTAGTGAGTAGCCAAAGGCAAGCATGACAAGTTCATTTAATAGCACAATATACATATTTTTTGTAGTCCATTTCAATCAAAATCAAATATCTCATTTCTTACTCAGGATTATTCTTGATTTTCTGTCGTCCTCCAATTTTTTTTATTACATTCTGTGACTATGCATTAATTGATCTGTTTACAGTTTGGTTGCTGTCTTGATTTCATAGCATTAGAAACGTAATGGTTAATTTTCTATCCCTAGATATCTGGATTTAATAATACAAATTTGTGATCATGCCAGAAGTAACCGCTGAACATTAAATGAGATTTTATGATATAATTTACATGTTCAAATTGCTACAGAAAATAGTATTCTTTAGATCTGTGAATCTAGAGTAGTGGTCTGTAGACTTGGAAGGGTTAACGCATAGGGATCTTCATGATACTTTCTTTGTACAACTTCAAAGATAGCAGAAGCTCTGACAGAAAAACTTATCAGTCACAGTTTCATTGTCTTCGAGGGGTTGTGAGGGGACACTTAGCTTTAAAGTGCATGGCTATCCTTCAAGTAAATGTGCTCTAGGCTGAATGGCACATGCTCAAATGGCTATTGGATCAGGATTTTAATGATATTCCCTCTTTATAGGTATGGCTCTAAAAGTATTTATAATGACAGAATATGGCTGTTTTTAGAATTTCCCCCTTTATGTAGTGTTGGGGATATTGGCTGTAGTTTATCAAACAACATGAACTTTTTTAATTATTAAAAATATTAGTTAGTGAATATTACCAATTAAAAATCTATGCCATATTTTTATACTATAACGAAAGATCATGTTTATCTTAAAATCATATTTTTGAAGGCTTAATTGAAATTATAATGGGTAAAAAAATTATCAAGGCATGCAATTCTTAGCCCAAAAATTTGTTTTGAGTTGATTTCATTTTTTTCGTTCTGCTTCCTATAAACAATGGGACTTTTTTTTCCATGTTCATTACAAAAGAATTGTGGTTTAATATAATTTTTAGGTCAATTGCCAAAAAAAAATCTCATTTTAAAATAAGATTTGATATATATTTTTAAAATATAAATTGTGTGAATATTTAAAGATGACTTTGATACTATGCTACTTTTAATTTTCAAGATGAATTTTTTTTTTTTTATCATCGTCATTTCAGTTTTATAAACTAATACTCTTTTTACTTCTTGAATTAAACCCAATATTTAACTTTTAAGAAATAATAACTTCAGGGTAATTGCTCTGGTGTCGATTTTTAAGTGGCTGTAATGGTACTTGAAGTCTTTAAAAATAAATTAGTTCCTTTTTTTTTTGTATTACTACCTGATGTTTTTTTTATTATATTGCAAAGCAACAACTATTGAATTAACCATATCCATACTTCTGTCTGTGTTACATTTTAAAAATTCCATAATCAATGCAATGTAAATACAGTATTAATCTCTTGGGCAACATATTTGTTGTGTTCCAGTAGTTAGTAGTTGGTGGATACTGCTGCTTCTATTCACGGATGCTTGTTAAAATTTATGCTACGCCTTTCATAGCTGCTATGTCCATTAAACATCATACAGAGCAATAAATTCATGCACAATGTAGTCGCCCCCCCCTTTTCTTCTTCTATTCGTTTGACTCCATTATTTTATTTTCCTTAGATTTGCATGACATATATCCAGCATTATTAATTAAGTCTTACTTTACATTTAGAACTATGTGTAATAATTTGATAAACATTTAGGTAATAGGGTTGAATTGGGACTGTTAAGAAATGATGAAAAAAGTGGAGTTCAGAATTTGTTTAAACCTTGCTTTCAAATCGTGTTAATCACCAATGTCTTTCCAAAGAGTAAAATCAATGTCAATAGCATTTTCATGACACGATCAGTGCTTACCAATCAATTTGTAGCCCAATTCATGAGATCAGGAGAATTTATAAATTATAAATTATGAATTTTCTTTAAAACATTTTCTCCTTACACTAATATTGGAAGTATACTATTATAATTTGAGTAACTGAAAATAATTATACAAAGCATAATTCCCTTTTAAAGAAATGAACAAAAATCACACAAAAAGTTTGTCAATATCAATCACAGTAACTTCCCTTTTTTTAAAAAAAACAACCTGTGGTACGCTTTATAAACTGAAAAGCTTTTGTAGTAGTAAACAAAAGAGTAAAATTGTAACTTTAAAGAGGATATAACTGCAAATCTTTTTTACTTTTTCAGATCTGTATTTTATAACTAAATTTTTTGGTGAAATTATTGTCTTCCTAATTTTGTTTTATTTTGAACTTGATTTCAGCTTTGACACTTTGGAGTTTGTTTACAGGTGCATCCTAGGTTTTCATCGTTAAACTCAAGGCTCTGTGCTTAAAAAGTGTGAATTCCTTCTTTCTTGGTTTGATTTGTGATGGTTAATTTGAACCTGCCCAAAGATAAAAAATAAGTTTGTTTCTGGTGCAACATTTTCAATATATTATTTTAGAAGGGGGTTTCAAACTTTTAGAAGTTTTTACCACTTAAATTAACTTAAAAAATGTATACAGGAGTGCCACTCTTCCGGATTATCCTGGAATTCTGGATTCGTGAAGTAAAATAATTTCAGCTCAGGATTTGCAATTTTTTATTTTCTCTAGCTCCGGGTTTTCCAGTTCATTTTATTCAAATAAGGGATTCTGGGTTTAAAAAAAAAAATCCTCGTGTAAGAACGTGCAAAAGTCTATTCAGGGAGAACGGGTTAGATATCAATAGAGCAGGTACTGTGACCTCTTGCTTTTGTTTGCAATCATTGCACCATAAATTATTTCTACAGTGTATGAATTTTATGAATTTCGTTAAGTTTCAGGGTTTGAAAAACTTTGTAAATGACACTTCCGGTTTCAAGAAATTTTTAGAAAGGAATTTCAAGGTTTACAGCTCTTGGTTAGTGGCACCCATGAATGTATATGTACAGCCTTGTACATGTAAATATATTCTGTCTGGATGTACACATTTGCTATTGTGTTACATCTTGTTGTACCACCAGGTGCTGTGCAATGTACCACTGTCGATGCTACTGGCACGTGTGCTACGCTTTGAGAATCGCTGCAATACCGGTTTTGTCATTTCATTTTTGCCTGCGCTAGAAAAGAAACCCTAGTCATGATTTCACACGAGGGAACTGGGGTTTTAAAGAAAAAAAGAGGGTTACATTATTTTCTATATTCATCAGTCCGGGTTGTATTAGAAACCCTAGATATGGTGGGCTGGGCATTCTTTGAAAAAGAATATTAAAATACAAATGTACTCATTTGTCAAGCCTGTTACTTTCCATTGATACAAGCAAGCATTTATTCATGTTCACAAAGTTGTTTTTGTGTGGGTGAATTCTTGAGCATATATGTAAGAATTTGTTAACCTTTATCTATGCTCTTAGAACAAATACTTTTGTATGTTTACGTATGTCATGTAAGATATCTACATTTTTATTATTATTATTACATATCCCTTTCACTTTCACTGATCACTTAAAACTTTAATTTTTTGTAAAAATAATCCAGAAAGAACACTTTCCACCATGACTTTCCATTGAATAAGATGTAGACCATTACAGGGGAGTTTTTCTGTATTACATTACTTCAATTCTGTTCTGTTTGTCAAGGGTAACTGTTTCTTATAACCACGAGTGAACAATACTTGCAAAGCAACTTACCCGGTGGCTGTTTTAAAGCTCTAGTCATGTGGATAAAAAGAAAAAGAAGTTATACATGGATGCATTATTTTGTGGATGTTTGATGACATTTCTTGTTGACACCTTTTCTCAAATAACAGAAATCAGTTATCCATGTCATATTGAAAGAGCTTTCAGGTGTCTGAGAATGACTCCGGTGTTTTGGATCCAAACTGCTCATAT